AAGAAAGAAAGAAAGAAAGAGACAAAAGAGAGACAAAGCACCCAAAAACAACAGGAAATTGGGAAAAATGATATAAAATGGGAAATTAGTAAGTGAAAATTCATTCAATTTCAAGAACAGCAAATGAAACAAAAGTTAAAACAATGAAATGCCACTTTCTTTTATTTTCTCCTTGCATGGAGTGACATTCCCAGACCTCTTTATTCATTTTGAAATAGGGTCTCACTAAGTTACTAAGTTACCCAGTTTGGGCTCAAAATTGCAACCCTTCTGCCTCAGCCCACCAGAGTTCTAGGATTACAGGCATGTGCTACCATGAGCAGCTCAAAATGCTACTTTTAACAGATTGGCAGTGACAGTTAATATCTAGTACAGATGAGTATGTTAGGAAAGGCCAATCTGATATTCTTGAAATAAATTATAAACTTGAAACAATCTTCTTGAAGGACAATCTAGTGATGTCAAATTTTAAAATAGTCAAGTCTTTTGTCCAACAATACAGTTCTTAAAATCACACTAATATCCAAGAATTATGTGTGGTGTTCATTGTACAAATAATAAAAACAACTTAACTTTTAACTGGTGAGAATTGTTAAATAAATCATGATATATCTATATAAAGAAATACCAAAAACAAGTCAAAAAAAAAAAAAAAGCTCCACACAGATCTGTACATAGTAACATGAAAGCACATTATTAAGTGAAAAGCTGAAGTCGTATCATTATAAACACATTGTGACCTCCCATGGCAGCAGTCTTACATATGGTCCCTGTGACTCCCACATTCACATTCCTGTGTGATGCCTTCCTGAGTATGGGCTGAACACACCTGGAATATGGCACAAGTCACTGGATATCACTTCCAAGATTAATTACCAGGAGATGGTGGCTCACTCACTAGAACAGGAGCTACCTGTCATGTTGGATGAAGAGACCTGTGTCACAAAGAACTGAGGGATGTCTCTGGTCAGTAGCAGACTGACTGGGGGGTCTTCAGTCTTAAGAACCTCTGGTCAGTAGCAACTGACTGGGGGGTCTTCAGTCTTAAGAACCTCAAGAAGAGGTGAATCCTCCCAACAGCCACAGGAGTGAGCTTGGAGCCAGGTTTTTCCCCAGTCAAGACTTCAGATGAGACCACAGCTCCAGCCAATACCTTAATTACACCCTCATGAGATGCCTTGAGGCTGAACATCCAACTAAGCCACAGCCTGATTGTTGAGCCAAAAAGCTGTGAAATCATCAGCATTGTTCTAACCTGGCTATACCTGCAGGAAATTTGTCATGGGCCAAGAGATAACTGATTTTTAAAACTGAAAAAAATTAAACTATGTTACATACATGTATGGAAGAGAGGGTTGGAAATAGTGGTACAGCACAGGCACAGATGTCTGGAAGAAAACCACCCCATTCCTGATGGAGGTTATTTCTGGAGCATGGAACTAGAAGGGAGGAAAAATTGTATTTTTTACTTCCATATTGTTTGTTTATTACAGCAAGCTCTAATTACTTTCATAGCTTAAATATCTATTTTCTAGAAGTTCTTACACATAACGAATCTTCCAGCATGTTCTTGACCCACTGACAACAGTGAGGCACTGCTGTGAGCTGTGCGGCACAGTGCAGTGCGGAGTGCCCAGCGCCCCCTGCATGTGCTCACTCTGTTGTAATAAGTGGGATGCGCTTGCCAAGATGGAGACCCCACCAATGAAACTGCAGTATTCACTGGTCCTGCTAGGACTTGAAGCCTTTGTTTGGTCATGTTATGGAATAGAGTTCTGCAAAAAGCTCATTGATCAGAACTGCAAATGATCCCGGTACTGGAAAAAAAACAAAAACAAAATGAAACAGAGCTGCAAATGATCCAAATGTGCCCTCATTTGCATTTTTTATTTATTTTATACTAGTACTTGTTTGCACTACATAATGTTTACAGCACATAACATATCTAAAATCCTTTTCTCCTGCCCTTCCCCTTCTCTCCCTCCCCCTCCTCCGTCTCTTGATCCCCTTCCCATGTGAAAAAGATCTACCTTCCCATTTCCTATGATCTTTTATTTTGCTCTTTATTTATAATTTCAGTTTCTCATACAAGAGAAACCATACTCAAGCTTGTGTATCCGATTTATTTCCTTTAACATTATGTTCTCATGGTGCATCCATGTTCCTATGAGTGACTCAAGTTTAGCTTTCTTTATAGCAGAGTAATTGCTTCTGGACCAGGAAACAGCATCACCATAGCCATGGAACCCTCAGGCGCATAGCGTGCCTTTCCTTCACCAATCAGATATTTCTCCGCAAAACCAAGAGCAAATGTACATCTTTAATCTGATATACACTGAATCTGATGTACACTAAATCTTGGTCACTCTTCTCCCTTTTCATTGTCTCTGCCCCCATCCAAGCTCCTGCCCTTGCTCTACAAGATCGCTGTCCTGATCTCTTGCTGGTCCCCACTTGCACTCCTTCCCCATTTGCACTCCTCATGCGGCCCAGCGTGAGCTTTGGTTCTCTCTTACCGTGCTTTGTGAAACGACTTCAGACTTAACAGAAAAATTGCAATCATGCAAGAAATAAAACCAAAAATCCCTGTGTAATCTTTCCCCAAATTTCCCAGAAAAAATAACAGCACTACATTTGCTCACCACTCCCCCCACACACATACGCACATGAAGTATTTGAGATTCAGCCTCCCCACTCCCAAATGCTTCCAGATGTATTTTCCAAAACAAGAACTTTCTCTGACATAAACAGGGTTATCAAAATCGCAATGCTAACATCAACGCAATTTTATTACCTAACCCACAGGCCTTATTCAAATTTCACCAGCTGTCCCAGGAACAAAGGGATCCTGCCACACTCTTGCTACAATGCCACAGTGCTGCCTGCTGCTGTAAGAATGCACGAACTCCTCGCTTTGACCCATCAGCCCCACATGTTTAAACTCCTGCCGACTTTTCCTCCCTCCCCGCCCGACTGTCTTCTAGCTCCTCACTCTCATCAAACCCCATAGGCCTCACTGTTCCTCCATTACCTAATCTCATTTCTACCCCAGGGCCTATCACTGCCTCTGTCTGCAATGGTTTTACCCAGAAATCTCAATCGTTGATGCCTCCTCATCACTCAGACCAAGGATCTCCCCTCCTTGTTGACTTTATGTGTTGTTTTCTCTTGTGTGATTTTGAGGGGAGAAGACAAGACATGTTCAATTCTAGATTTTTACCGTGTTCCTCCAGGAGCCTTGAAAGATTTGAATTCTCTAAACTTCTCTGTTTATTTTATTGTATTCAAGTAATCTATAAATTATAGGTCAGTATATGGAATATGCATGAGATATTCAAATTCAGTAAAAAAAAAACTTCTTCTTAAATCTGTCTAAACAAATAGCAACACGTGCTGCCATATTGTATTGTTAAGTATTTACCACAAAGTTGGTATTAGTAAGTAGAAATTATTTTTCTATCTTCAACATATTAACTGTGTCGAAGAATATTCGATTTAACCCACATGCAAGCACATCCACAAGTAATTCAACGGTGAAGTTCTTCTGATTGCAAGATGTAATTCTGCTGGAAGCCTGAGGCAGGAGGATTCCAAGTCTGAGCCTAGCCTGGGCAACTTAGCAAGAACTTGTCTCAAAAAAAATTTGTAAAAAGGTCTGAGGATGTAGCTGAATATAAGGGCCCTGGGTTCAATCCTTGTAACAAACACAAAAAAGTAAGGGCTCCTAAGGACCCATAAATGAACTACTTTACTTAAATAACTATATCATCAGTGTTAGCACATCCTTAATGATCTGTAGGATGAGATATGCCCTAAACATTGCTCAGAGCCACAGCAACCACCTCAAATCATGAAGACAATACCTTAAGATGTCGCATGAACTGTAAAACTGATATGACAACAAGTGGAAAATAATTACTGCTATTATTGAAGTCTCTATGTCATTTCTTGGTAGTGCCATCCTGTACTGCATCTCCTCTAGGTAGCAATCGTTCTCCTGCCCACACTCAATGACAAGGATTACATGTTTGAATAAAATGTCAACATCCCACGTTATCCAGAGTAATGGGATACATCTAAATATCATCCTAACCCAGGACTGTCACGTTCCATTCATAACTGAAAGAAACAATGTCTTTAAGACCTTGCCTGAATTTTCAGCTAAAACTCACTTGATTTCAAGGTGACAGAGTGTGTTCTTAAGAGCTGTTGCCACCTAGGGTAATTATAAAGCTAGAGAAAGGCTCTGAGATGAAACAAAAGAAGATTAACACCTCTGCAGCAGAAGCAGCATTAACTGAGACACGGTACTGGGACCTAGCACTGAGAAACTGAAATAAGGCCGCAGTGAGGAGACCTCTCTCAACAGTTAAACTCAAAGAGGTCGCTGCATCCTTACGAAAGCTGCAGATACCTATGGCTAAGAACAGAGGGTTCTGAACACTGTCAAGGTCACAAGTGCAAACAGTGAGTTGGTTGGCAATGTTAAAAAGTACAAAGAACGAAAGGGTAAAAGTAAACAAAAATATTATTGCAATGCAAACTACAGGGAAGTGGAAACAGGGTTTTACATTTGGCCTTGGCACATAGGCAGGGCATGAGGAAACTGATTACCAAAGCTCTGGTTTTATGTTGTTGGCTAGAGATTTGAGCCAGTGGGGTTCAATGTCTCCCTTGTGCTCACCTCACCTTGACACAGTCCCCACCGGGGACCTCTGAGTCCTCACCTGCTGGGATATGCAAAAGGAGGTCCCAACTCTTAGCATGTGTTTCTTTTTTTAATCTCACACTTAAAACGCCTGTCTTGTGTGTGCTGTAAAATGATATGCTACATTAGACCAACAAACAGTACATGTAGGTTGCTAAATACATGGACAAGCTTATCATGAAAGTAAATTATTGAAAACCATTTATTGATAAGTGGTTTGTGATCAAGACAGTACAGAGATTCCGTTCCAGGAGGTCTGGAGTGAGGCCTTGGAATGTGTGTTTTTATAGCTCTTTGGGGGAATTCTGGTATACTAGTTTTAATTCATTTAGAAGGATTAATTTATTTTAACACTCACAAATCTACCTGTAGCTTGTGTAAAATGGGACACAAGTTCTCCCTTACATGTAGTTTTGGTCACCCATGGTCAACTGCTATCCAAAAATATCAATGAAAAATTCCAGAAGTAAACAATACCTAAGTTCTAAATTGTCACACTGAGCAATGTGATGAATCTCACACCACCACTCTCTGTCCCACACAGCACTACCACGCTACACACACAAACCAACACCCACAGCTGTAAGGAGACAGAGACCACACTCACATAACATTTAGTATAGGATTTTTTATAATTGTTCCTTTTTATCATTTATTGTTAATATCCTACTGCTCCTAATTTATAAACTCACCTTTATCCTAGGTCTATATGTACAGGAAAAGAATATATATATGATTTCAGGCAACCACTGGGGAGGGTGTGAGAATGTGTCCCCTACAGATAAAGGGGGACTACTATATTACAATTCTCATTTGTAGAGGCATGGAAAGTTTAGGTAATTCCCCTAGCTCACACAGCTAGTAAATGAGGGAATCTGAGTCCAGTTTGGTGCCAAATCAGTGTTCTCCAACACCTACACGACATACCCTCAATAAAGTAAAGCAGGAAGGACTGAAGAATTTCACGTTCCAGGTGGAAGAGATGCAAGAGCATCCGGTGGGAGCTCCACCGGCCTGGAGAACCCTTCCAGAAGCACGGCCTACTCACGAGGACCCGCAGACTCCCGCACAAACCTCTTCCTGTATGTGAGTCCCGTTTGTCTGGCTTCTTGAGATGGGACTGTTCTAGAAAGACAAAGAGAGAATACAAGACACAGATTGCTTCAGTAAAACAGCACCCGACCACAGCAGCTCATTGTCATTTTTTTCCCCTTCAATAGAAGCCTTTCGCCGTATGGAACTGATTACTGCCATCTGCCCTTCCATCCTTCTATTTCCTCTCTAGCAGCTCATTCTTCAAAAACTCAGTAGCTTCCTCTCTGTACATTTGTAAATGCTGTTGACTATGGATAAAATCCATGTTTACTTTCTCTTCAAAACCCCATAGGAAAGCTTGTTTTAATCACCCACAGATGTTTCATTCAGTTCTGCTTAGCTTGGCACAGAACTTCAGAGGGAAATAAAAGAAAAATCTTTATTTTATATTTCAATTGTAGATTGTTACAGACTAAATAAAACGCCAAATTGTTATTGGAAACAACACAGCCACTGTAATAACGATAGTCGACATCTCATTTTTACAATTATAATTTTTTCTGGCATTTGTTTAACTCAAGATGGTTTCCATATTTTACAAAAGGGCTTTTTTTTTTCCCCCACACTACTCTGAATGAACCTTCATTAAAGCCATAGACCTTTACAATTTATTTTTAATACATTCTTATACATTCAAGAAAAATTGAAGTTATGACACAATATTTAGTGATTAGTCTTGTAAATTCTTTCCACCTTTACGGTGGCATATTTGGTATGTGTTATCCTTTTGAAATCTTTTAAAAATATTCATTAGCCAACCTCAAAGACCACTCCATATATATCAAATACCTAATGGACAAGTTCTTTCCTGTTTCCCTTTTACTTTTGATATAAATGTTGATATATATGCACTCACTATGCATTAGATTTATACTCCACAGTTATTAAATATAAGGAGAAAAGGTAGATTTTCTAGAACAATATTTTCATGAAACTGGGATGAGGGAAAAGAGAAAAGAAAGAAAGAGAAAAATACATATATATGTATACACGGGGCATCTAACATAGTTGTACTACTGACTTTTATTGCTCTATTGAAAGGAACAGTTAATGTTTAATCATTTGATCAGTCTTACATGGGTATATTTGTTTATCTGAGTATCCAATTTGAAGATATCAATATGTAATACAACAACCATTGTTAATTTCCTATCACCTTGTCTGAAATTCTGTATTGCTTGTATTGTTTTTGTTAGTTTCTAAATGTATGTGTGTTTGTTAATTTAAAAAAAGTGTTTTCAAATAAGAATGAGCCCAATGGCTTGAGAGAGGGCCAATTAAGACTCCTTTTGTTTCAATACACATGTCTAAACTCTGACTTGAAAGTACTTATTTTGCTCTACACAATTTTATTCCTCTTTGTGTATCTATTCAAAACACCTAGAGGGCCCAGCATGTAGCCCATCGGTAGAGCATTTGCTCAGCCTGCACAAGGCCCTGGGTGTAATCCCAGGCACTGTGAAAAGAAAAGTGGTATGGGGGAATATCTGGGTCAGAGAACTTGTTGTGTTAGAGGAGAGATAAGTGTATGCATGAGGGGGAAATGGTTGACCCTTTATCTAAGAGAAGTTACCCAATCAAAGAAGATATTTCAAGTCAATGTAAAGAAGGGAACAGTTTTCTTTATACAGCCCCATTTTCCAGTGCAAGTGACAGCTTTTCAAAGAACAGCTCTCAATTCTATGTTGATAGTGAGAAAGAACATTTACTTTCCCAAATTATCTGACCTACCACCTAGATATATTTATAATACAACATCAAAGACAATCAGCAAATCCATTAGACCCAAGTGTATTTTTTCTTGTCAAGGTCATGAATGTATTTTATATAACTACAATTTTCTGCCCTTCATTAATTGAAGCTATTAGTGGCTATGAATAGCAAACTTTTTAAAACATCATTATTTCATCAGTCTTTCATTGCAGAAAAGGAAGTAAAGTCAGTCTTCCTTTGATATCTAGGCACTATAATCAAGACAACTGGGTTTTTGTTAAGTTAAAAACAACAAATTATAATTTACTATAAACATAAATACAATTTTAAATATAAGGAGCTAAAGAATTTTTCCTACTATAGCCTCCTGCATCATAGACATGGTTATGACCCTGAAGTATTCTCCCCTAGACACACTTGTCCCATTAAAGAAAGGGGAGAACTACAATGTCAAATTGTCACTTGAGCAGTTTCTCTACGTTCATCTAATATTGAATGACCACTGTAAGAACATCAAGTACATGCTGCTAGTTGCTGTGAAAATAATAGAGAAAATAAAAATAAAGTGATTGCCTTTCTGCAAAGATTAGGATTAAAATGAAATGAAAAGGGGAAAATAAAAATACACATACAGGAGCAGAGGCACATTTTGTATCACAGTTGAAAGGTAATATACTTTAGTTCATTTTTAAAATATAAATGTAACATCTCAAATACAGACATGTATCACTCCTTGTCAAGAAAGGTACACCCAGTTCTAAAAAAAAAAAAATCAGATGTTATTAGTTTATTAATCTGTAAAATTGCTGATGTAATACTGTATTTCCTCAAATCTAAGATACCATCAATTTTAAGACATACCATTATTGTATTTGCCAGGAAAAAGAAAAAAAGCATTCCCATATGCCATGACAGATGATCAAATGTTAAACACATTCCAATTTTACAGATTAAAGTGCAAAAAATGTACATTTAGAATTGAAGAAATATTGATTTAGCAATCAAACTCTGGTTCAGGAACACAATAGGATACTTGCTTAAAAATATTGAACATAGCCAGGCATGGTGGCACATGCCTGTAATCCCAGCACTCAGGAGGCTGAGGCAGGAGGATCACCGTGAATTTGAAGCCAGCCTGGGCCACATAGTGAGTTCAAAGGCAGCCTGAACTAGGTAACAATACTTTGTCTCAAAAAAAAAAAAAAATACTGAACATAGCCTGATGTGGTGGTACACTCCTGTAATCACAACACAGTAGGATGATCACAAGCTCAAGCCCAGCCTGGGCAATCTAGTGAGGCCCTGTCACAAAAACAGCAAGAGGGGAGGGAATAGCTCAATGTGAAGGCCCTAGGTTCAATCACAAGTTCCAAAGGAAAGAAAAAAAAGAACATTGAATGCATAAAAAATGCTTTAAAGAAGAAAAAAACTCACAAGTGACATAGAAAATTAACTTATCTCTACAAGTTCAGAAATCTTTCCATTTCTGAATATATTTTTCCCACTATGGCCTTACATATTTGTGTATTTCAGTTTATTATTTTTCACTATGCAAGTTAAAAGTGCTTACAACAAAAGAAACTAGAAAGTTTACACAAAACATTCAATACACCAAAACTGGACCTAAGATGTCATTGGATTTTTTTTTTTTTTTTTAGTCTTTCCTTTTCTCTTGTTCATTGCTTAATTTCACATAGCTTTTTCCACACTGTGCTGCTGTCATGGATACAGTGAGAAGCCTCCCAACACCTCCACAGCTCATCCGGCTTCTAGCACCTTCGCCCAATTTGCAATGACAGACATGGAACCTCAATCCCCATTTGATTATTCTTTCAGGAAAGGCTTGAGTGCAAAGACCTTAGAAGAGTGACGGGGAACTTTTCAGAGATGAGTGCCCAACTGCAACCCAAAACCTGCTTATTTATCACAACATGCCAGCACTACAATTAAACATGAATACCGAGAATTTAGTTTAGAATAAACAACTATTATCCGACGCTCAGATGCTGGGGTGACTCGGCTTGCGTGCCAATAGAGAGAGTTCTGTGTGCCAGCTGTGGCATGCGTACCATAGGTTTGCAAACCCTGCTTTAGAACATTCAGGTATAGCTTGAGGGAAGATCAAGGTTAACACTACAGATATTATTTCAATTGTTTCAACCAGCTTACAGATACCAGAGAGAAAGAACATTTGTGCTCCTCCTTTGCATTTCTTTAGCCCTTTCTAATTAATCCCAGGAGTTTGTTTTGATTAGCAGTGGAGTATCTGTGCACACACATTACCTGAAAACACCCAGAGATCCATTTCCATTTACAGTGGTGACTGTCATAGAGAATGTTGCTCCCATTCTAGCAACAACGACAAAATCAGACAAGCTACAGTATCATCACTGTTCTTGAGCCCATTAGAGAGACAAAGTCTTCAGGCAACCAAGCAATCTGAATTGCAAAAAGGGACGTGAGCCTTTGCAAAGAGAGACTAGGCATGCAAACTGTCCAGCCTTTGGCAGAGCAAGAGAGAAAGAGCGGGTCACCTGACACAAGAGGGTAAGAAGAAATCAGCCAAAATGTTAAAGAATTTTTAAAGAGCGAGTATAGGCTGGTGTGTCCATTGGGAACAGCTGGAGACCCCCGAAATAGGGATGTTTCCACTCATCATCTCAGTTTCAATGAGCCTCCACTGGGTTCTCAGACTTGGGAGAAAGATTGAGCCCAGGAAAGGTAATCTGGGGGCACTTCAAGGTAACATGGATAGGCATGTCCACAGACCTTCTTCTCTTAGGAAGTAATAAACTAAAGCTGCTAAGGGAGGACCAGCAGACCTCTTTGACCCCAAGAAAAGACCTGTTGCTTCTGGGAAACAGCAGAAGCAGAAGCCCTGTCTCTGGAGCAGGAACATTTCTTGGGTCCTGGACTCTGCACTGATGTCAAGCACAGGTCAGCTACAGCCAGGCAAGCATCAAGAAACTCTCTCCTACCAAAGACCAACCACAGATACAAGGCAGAATTTAGCTGCCACTGGAGTAAGGGAGGGAATGGAGAAAAAACTCTAATCGCAAGGCTTGGTCACACACAGCCTGCCTGAGACTGAGGTAGGACCACCATGAGAAAGAAGCCTTGTGCCCCACACCGCCACAAGCCCAGTACCAATGAACACACAAAGACTGTGGCACCATGTGGGAAAGCAGGGACATGGAGAGGCTCTCTCGTGGCTCAGGCAGGCAGAGTAGAAAGGGAGCATGGAGAAAAGTATCTACTACTCCAGGTCTACTCCAAACATAAGGAGATAAACTACATTTAGGAGTATTTGGAGCCTG